CAGGACTGTTGTGAAAGCAGCTCAGACAGTCCTGGCAGGTGAGAGCTCCTGTTCACAGGGGCCTGTTCCTGTCCTGCTGTGTCACCTCTGGTGAGTCTTTACAGGTATTCTTTGTATGCAACAGAGAGAATGCAGGCACTTGGTCAGTCCTGCTCCTGAGGGACTTTGATTTCTTCTGATGGAAGGAGTTTCAGGTTTGTCTTGTATTACCGACAGTAATGAGAATGGGAAAATCATGATGAAAGAGCTGAAGAAATGGAGAAGGGGGAAGAAAATATTGCCTTGTTTTCCTACCATTGGTAAGGCCCTCAAAAGAGAGCTGAATTATATTTACTGCACAGGTGATCTGCACAGTAAGGAAAATTACTGTTATCTCTAGCAGTTGGTAAACTGTGACCAGAAGTAGCATCAGTACGGGACAGAAAAGCAAAATAACCAGCAATATTTAAAATGAAGATGATTTAGGTCTCCTGTGTGCTTCCCAGAGCTGTTAAAATTGTTAGCACTGCTTTGAGCAGAGCTACCATGATTGATTGTCTCCTCACCAGTTGCTGTTGCACACACCCTTCTAATCCGAGTCATCATTTCGGTGTATTGTCTGCAAGGATTAGAAAGCAAAATCCTGGGGGCACGACCCTGCTCTTGAATGCTCTTGAATGCTTTTATGAGCTGCCCTCACACCCAGCAGGCTACAAAAGAGGGAAGGAATCATAACCGTACTGAAAATAAGCTGTTCTTGCGGGGTTAACTTTCAGGAGGTGACACCTAACTGCGTGCGATTGTTGAGATACCTGAAGGTGAGGAGGAAGCTGCATTTAGGCAGCTTTGAAAAGGTTGCCCTGTGTGCATTGCTGTGTTTGTGCCATGGCTCTAAATACTTTCCCAGGTACTACACCATTAAAGGATCCTGTCATCTATTTTTCATGACGTGATCAGGCAGAGCACTGCACAGCACAGGGCTGAAGGTGTGGGAGTGCTAAGCGTTTCATGTCACTCTGCCGGGCAGCAGCTAATCTTTAACTCACTCCAGAAGGTGCTGAACCACCAGATAACCCGATTTACGGGAGGTATTGAGAAGGATAAGTAAAGAGAAAGGGGATGAAGTTGTTACATCCTGATTAGAGAAAAGAGGTGTAGCACAGGGGTAATTTTTTTTTCCTTCCCTTCAGGCTTCTTACTGCAGATTTTGCAGGGCAGCTCCTTGCACCTGAAGGGATGGAGGTTGTAATCAGTGCCTACTGAATTACCTTTGTCCAGCAAACAAATCAACCCAAGACAATGGGTAATTAGCAGTAATAATAAATCTACAGATTGAAAGAAGGATAAAGGATAAATGCAGTGAGGAAAGCTATTAAACCCGTGAGCTGAGGCAGCTTTTACATGTCAGTTCCTAATGAGTATTGACAGCAGAGCCGTGTTGGTTGGTGCTGGGAACAACTGAAGACCTGGAGGAGGATGCACAGGATAGCCACAGAAAAGGTAGTTATGGACATCACATCTCCGTGCAGCCTGCTTGTAAATCTCAGTACTTCAAAGACTGGATTTTGTGGCCATAAATAGCCATTTTGGAGGAATTAGGTATGAAGAAAGGGGATCTCCAGCACTAACTCAGCCTGCTTTGTGTGGAAGACCTGTCTGAGCCTCCCTAGGGACTAAACCTCTCAGAGGGGCTTAGCCCTGTCCTCAGCTGTTCCACCTGCTGCCTGCAAAAGAGTCAAAAGTGGGAACATTTTCAGGCAGTTACTGTTTAATTTTAAACAGTGACGTTTTCATCTTGCCCTACGATGAAATAGCTTTTAACACCCTGAAATTTGCCTGTGCTTAATTGTTGGCTTATCCGTTTTTAACTCTGCAGTGTGGTGGCATCGTGGCAAACACCAGTGACCTTGTAATCACTAACAGAAGCTGAAGGTGACCAAAACATACCAGACCTAAACCAAAACTGAGACCGCTCTATGTTTTGTGTTAACCCATAATTCAGGATGTATTATCCCAAGTACCCACTTTCCCCAGTAGATGAAATGCTGTTTTTCAACCCTTAAATGAAGAGTGTGCTTTTTTTTTTTTTTTTTTTTTTTTTAATACTGCTTCATATTTAAAACCAACACAGGGTGAAATGAAGAGAGAATAGTGTGGTGCTTTTCTGGGTGTTCATGTGTGAGAAGAATTGCAACAAAACATTTTTCATGTCCTGTGCGGTTTTGCGTCACTTAAATATTGAAAAGTGATTTTATTGCACAAAAGCATTTCAGGAGACATCTGAAAGGAGAGGAGTTTGATGCCTCAGAACCCTCAGACTTGTTTCTGTTGTCTCCTTATTTCAAGGTACATTTTTAATTCAAAAATTGAGCTATTTTATGATATTGATGGGACCCATAAAGTCAGGTGCTAGGCCAGAGGTGCTTTGCAGAAGCATTCAGAGCTGTGATTCATGGCTTGAAGGGGTTTTATATATTTCATGAGGAAGGTTTATGTACTTCATAGTCTGGTGTTCAGCCTTGCAAAACTTCAATTCCCATCGATTGTTTTTCTTTGTTTTATTTTCACTTCTACAGAATGATTAGTAACAATTCAACTACAAATCTACGGTGGAGCAGGTTCATGAGAGAAAAAGTGCTCTTTGTTGTGCACTAATTAGGAGGTTAAGAGACTTGGGTTCTGTTCCTACTGCTGTTCAGGACTCACTGTGTTACTTTAGACATATCACTCCATCCCTGTTTACACCCTCACCTTCTTGGTCTGCTTGTCTGTGCTGTTCACATTTCAGGGAGGAATTCAGGGCCCTGCTCTGTGTGCACTTTCAGGACAGTTGAGTCTCTGCTCCCCGTGGGGAATCTCTGCATTACATAACACAAGCGACAGTAAATCATTCACAAGTCGTTTCACTGTGGGGATTTATAGGTTTTTTTGGCAAGTGCTGAGGCTTAACAGCACTTTGCAGGTTGCTTTGTTAAGATTTGTCCTGAGTAAATTCCTAGCTGTGGTGGGATCAGTTTTTATATTCTGCCTCAGTAAGCAATGGGGACACTCTGCTGAAGCACTAATTGCCGTTTACTAGAGAACGTGACAGGCCAACAGTGAAAAGGTAAATATTTCCCAATATTTAAGCAGCATTTGGGATCTGAAAAATACTTCCTCAGGGAAGAGAACGCGTTAGTGCTATTTTGAGAGAGCAGCATCACCCTCCAGTCAGTTTAATTTCATTAGCCCTTAGCAGGCACTTTTCATGGGCACTGGTGTCACACCACAGGCACCTGGATCCTCCAAACAGATGACTCATTCTCAAAACTGCTAAGCTGGTGAGGATGCCCTTCAAACAGAGACTGAGAAAGGTGCTTCTCACCAGAACAAGTGAAGGGGTGAAGAGCTCGAGTCTGTGGCAGCAGTGAGTCAGGTTTGGTGAAGTTTTAAAAGGAACTAATTATTAACTTGAAACCTGAACTGTTTATAAATATATATATATATTTATAACTATAAAATACATTTGGACTTTTGCACTTCAGGTTTGTGTGCTTTAAAAGTTTCCCTAATATTTTAATTGGAAAAATAGAAAGAATTGATGGGGGGCTGTTACAGGGTCACATAAATGGAAGAGAGCAAAATGATTGCATCATCAGCCAGCCAGAGCATGGCTGGCTGGCGGTGCTGAAGCTGAGGGTGGGGTTAATTTTGGCAAAGGCTCGTGCATGCTGGAGTTTCAGAAGCTTCATGTTGAGGTATCCTGTTAAAATTCCCTCTGGTAAGTAGTTTCCCTTCCCTTCAGTCTCGCCAAAGCAGTGAAGTCATTCCTGGCTTCTCCTCCAGCCGCGCAGCCGCTCGTGCTCCTGGTGCAAACCGGTGCCTCTGGCTCTTGTCCTGTTGGAGTCGCCACTCTGGGTGCCCTGTTGTGTCCTGCCAACCCCTGCAATAGCCTGTCAGAGGCTGCTTGGAGATGAGATGAGGCACTGCTACTTCCTTGGTATTTAGACTCTTAGCCTCTGGTGTGACTCGAGTTACAGCCGTTAATTAAAGCCTTGGTTCTTTGCCTGATTAGGAATAATGCTGGCTCGTTATAAGATCACACCACGTAAACCCCAGTCCTCCCAAACCAGCAGCAGGGAGAGAGATTTTATTCTCCTGGGAGTGGAGTTCAGTTGAACCAAGATGGTGTTTTCTGGCTGTCTGGAAAGGGCTGTGATCTGATGCGTCGGGGAATCCCCTGGGAATCCTCCGTGTGATTATCTGACAAGCTGCTGGGTACCAAGGCCCTGGAAGCAGGAAAGTGTGCGAGCCTGTGAGTCTGAATGGAAATGAGTATCCCTGAGAAAAATCAAGTGACAAGGCTGTAAAACCTTCCTGCATCTGTTAACGATGTACAAGCACTGGTGACTTGCTGGAATCATACCAGGAGGGACATCAGCACGTCATAGCTCTGGGCTTGCGGGGAGGAGGAGCTGGGATGGGAGGATGAACGGGGAGTATTCCAAGAGTAGGTGTCTGGGCTGGAAGAGCTGTGATGGGTTTATCTGTATTGTTTTATTGGTGCTTGTGGGGCTCATTATTTAAGATGGAAACTCTCAGACTGATTGAGGTTTCTGTTTTGGCAGACTGCTGCTCCTCACTCCTGGCAGCACACACACAAAGAACTCAAATTGTTTCTATGTTCTTACAGCAGTTTACAGTTAAAACTTCCCCAGAAGGCTTGAGGATGGTGGAAGTGCTGCTCTGCACGTAGGAGTTAATGTCTACACAACGCTGAGCTTTCCTCTAAGCTCTAGAATGTTTGACTCCAATTTTTGTCACTGTTTCCATTGGGACCCCGTTGGGATGTTCTGTATTTCCTCGAAATCCTACCCTGCCCAGTATGGGCTGTGTCTTCAGGGAGGGTTGTGCTGCTGTGGGTAGCATTCTTTTGAAAAGAAAGTTGCATTTCCACAGATTTCTACTAACACAGAAAAAACTGATTAATTCATGGTTTAGATGAGACTGGGTTAAAAGAAAATTCAGCACTTTTTTTTTGTTTGTTTGCCTGGTTCCTGGTGTGTTACAAAATGTCTCTATTAACAAAGCTGCCAGGGGGTTAATTTGCACTAACAGCCTAATCATCTCCAGCAACATCATTTTAGGTTTTCATATTGCTGCTTAGATCAGCAAGACTAGAGAAAAGGAGATTTGAGAAACAGCGCATATCTTAGGAGAAAGGAAAAATGGGGGAAGCACTTCAGACAGAGCCCTCTGCATCCTCAGCTGTCAGGCTGCTTAAAAAAAACTCTTTTTCTTTCAGGCTCTGGCTCTTAAGATGTAACCCTTCATTCCCAAA